ACACCTCTCTACTCCTCTCCCCCAACACAAGTTCCTTCCCTTCTCCTTCCCAGCCTACCAGGAAGCCATCACTAGGGCAGCTCCAGGAAGCTCTCCAGGTCTGAACAGCTGCTCCTTGTTTATGTGCTTCTCTCCTATGTTGGGTGTTTTCCACGAGGCATGTAGCCCACTTTCCCATCAGACTATGAACAGCTGGGCCTTCCTTTTTTGCCTTAGTCTTTCCTTCTCTCACAGCTTCACCTATTTGATCCTAAATGTACTCAAGTGTTTTGGTGATAAGGAGGACCAGATGGAAGCTAGTATATGTTGAGTACCCATGATGGAGGCCAGGTACTAAGTAGAAGCTTTGCCCCAAATTATCTCAGATCAATTTCCCCAAATCCCTGTGAGGTTACAGGTGAGGAACCTGAGACCCACAGTGACTGGCTGCAGGTTGCACACCTAGGAAGAGTCAGAGGTGGGATTCAAACCCTGATCTGCCCACCACCACTCATTCCACAGTGGGACTGGCCTGAGAAGATCCTTTCCGTACTGCAGCTGCACACCCTTCCTCTCATGGGGCTGGGTCCTCTAAGGGCTTAAGAAAAAATGAAGGGCAGAGAAAAGAATGGGTCTGGGGCCAATTCCTAAAAATGTAGCTCCCAGGACCAAGACCCAAACCTGCAATGCTCTAAACACACAGGAGAATGTATTATTTCCACAGGGTGGATCCTTCATTTATCACAAGCATCATTGGGGAGCAGATATCATCTTGGATTTGTTCCACTCCCCCTGCCTCACAGTGACCTCCTCCATCACCCGTCACACACTCACCTCCAGGACACAAGGTGCACGTCCCACACAGTGAGCCAGTCCTCAAATACCACATGGCACCGCTCTCTCATCATGTATACCTGAGCCTGGTCTCCCCAACCAGACTCCAGTGGAGGAGAAGGGCCTCACTGTAGGTTCATAGCTTCCTCTGGAGGTAAAGTGACCTGAGTTGACCCAGGTCTGCCTTGTACTAACTGGGAGACCTTGGGCAACCTCTAACCTCTCACTTCACCCATCTGTATAAAGGAATCAAAGACATTCCATGAACTGTAGGAATTACATGAAATCATGCACGCCAAGCATTTGGCCCCATCGATGGTAACTGCTAACACTGGCTATTATCTGCATTCCCTGAAGAGTCCTGTAGAGGATCAGAGCACTCGTGACTGATATTTGTCTGAAATAAACAATCAGGAAAGGAAAAGACTGTGAAAGCACAATGCCTCCCAAATCCAAACAATTTCTTTTTTGTTTTAGATGCACGAGCTCCTCTCCAACACCAAATGACTTGACATACACCTACACATGCTTGTGGGTACAAAGGATTGTGTGAACTGGAACTCAATCCTTATGGAAAGTTTTCAAAGGTATCTGCAGTTTGCAACCAGCACCATCAGGATCATTTGAAAGACAAGTGGTCTGAGGCCAAAGACAGGTTACCTAAAGGTCTCCCCAGGGGCAGCTCATAAAAGCTAAGAGAGGAGCCCGGCTCCATGCAGGGAGCCTGGCCTAAGCAGCAGCTACCCATCTTCCCCAAACGCACCCCAAGCAGGGGCTTGACAGAGGGGAAGGAAGCCAGGGGCTGACAGCACCACTCAAATGATGGAGGTCACTTGCCTGCCTTTCATAAACAGACCAAAACACAAGACCCTCAGTGTCCAGGCAGCTCCCCCACATCACGGGGACAAGCATGCCTTTGGCTGGATGTCCTGAGAAGACCTTTGCAGTATGTTCCCAGCATTCTGGGGCCAGCAGGGCCCCTCCTGCTTGGGCCCCAGGCCTCTCATCAGCTAGCTCCAGCTAACGTGCACGTCCCATAAAGCGGCTCTGCTCTGCAATTTGCCAAACCGCAGACTCAGAATTCACCACCAGTGGAGGAGAGGCGGGAAGAAGGCATGCTTCTTCAGCGTAAAGGGCTTCCAGAACATACGTGACTCGGGCGCAGTGTGTCCTGCCAGCTACCCACACCAGCGCGCCTTGCCCGGAACACCTGACCTTCTGGTGTGTGGTGTCCACCACGTCAAGGCCGAGAGAGGAGGCGATCCTAAACTTCAGAGGCACAGCCTCCCCAGCATGCTCCTCCTGCCCTGTTGGCGCTGCTGACACTTTCCATTATCGGCCCCCTCTCCTTATGTTATGCACTGATGCCCCAAATGTGCAGGAACCTCTTGCTATCACCAGATATTTGGGCTCGTCAACCCCAACCAGCCTTTTACGGTATTTCGATGAACCCAACCCATGACATGGGCAGAAGGCCAGTTAGACCCAGGTGCTGGGACTAGCTGTGTCACAAGTGACTTTATCCCATCTGGTTCTCAGTTTCCTCATCTGTAAAAATGAGGGGGTGGAGCCTCATGAGTCCTCAGGTCCCTGCCAGCTCCACAATTCCATAACACACAATACTCTCTCCTTTAACTGTTTTCCCACAACCTGGGTTCAGGGCCCTGTATGGCCCCATCTGCTCAGTGACATCACTCCCGGCCCCAAACATAACGTCATTGATTCTTACACAGGAAGCGGAGACGTCCCAGAAAACACTGTCCATAAAAAGGGAGGAAATGATCATTTTGAGGGAATTGGACAGGACTTCTTTTGTATTTTTCACACAGAACAAGTTATTATCTATCTTAAAACCCCAAACCCTTCTTCCTTCTTGCCAGACCATTAATAGCTGCTTTTCAAAAGTGCTTTCTTAGTCAGAATCACGCCAAGCTACCATTTAATGAGTGCTTCTTTTGTGCCAGGAACTGCACTAAGTGCTTTGCATGTATGATCTCATTTAATTCTCCAGACAACCCTCTGAAGTAGATACTATTATTATACTCACTTTAAAAATGAGGAAACTGAGGCCCACGGAGGTTAAATAATTTGCCCAAAGCTGCATAGCTAGTCAGTATCTGAGCCAGGCTTTGAACAAGAGCCTGTAACTCAGAGCCTCAGCACTAACCACCTCTCAACACTGTCTGCATCGGGCCCCCCCGTCGCTTTAGCAGCGCTCCTGACCAGGAGTGCATCCTACAGCTGTAATCTTGGACATCGTCGGTCAAAGCTAAGATTTGATGTTTCACCTAAAATCCAGAGCCGGCACCTGCCTGGGTCTCAGAACAGAGTGCCATCTGTTGAAAGCAGTGCCTACCTTAACTGAGGACTAGAAAAGAACCCCTAGGGGGCTTCCCTGGTGGCGCAGTGGTTGAGAATCTGCCTGCCAATGCAGGGGACACGGGTTCGAGCCCTGGTCTGGGAAGATCCCACATGCCGCGGAGCAACTAGGCCCGTGAGCCACAAGTACTGAGCCTGCGCGTCTGGAGCCTGTGCTCCGCAACAATAGAGGCCGCGATAGTGAGAGGCCCGCGCGCCACGATGAAGAGTGGCCCCCGCTTGCCACAACTAGAGAAAGCCCTCGCACAGAAACGAAGACCCAACACAGCCAAAAAAACAAACAAACAAACAAGAAAAGAATAATAAGAAAACCAAATGACATTCGAAATGTTTATTAAAAAAGTTCAGGACAAAAAAAAAAAAAAGAAAAGAAAAGAACCCCTACAACTTAGCCTGCAACATTTGAGAAAAGAACTTAGGAAAACTGACTTCGTAATAAGTGCTGGGATGTGCAAATGGACATCTGTCCCCAGGGGAGGGTGACCACATGGTGACCCAAGTCCTCCAAAAAGAGCTTTCTTGAAATGGCAGGGCAAGATGCTTGCTGAGCCAGTAACACAAAAGAACAGCTCTTCCACCAGCACCCACGTCTCTGTCCCATCACGAACCAGACTCCTTGGTTTACCTCCTCCCCAACCTGAGCCCAGGCCCATTTATTCTACTATAAAGAAACCCAAAGATCAGAGCCACTGGGGATAAAGACAGAAAGAGTAGCCTGAGGCTGACATTTGCACAAATCCCAGTCTCCTTCCAACAAGGAATTTCAGAGATCAATGTGCTGTCCAGGGCAGCAACCAACAGCCTGTCTTAATTGTTAAAATTAATGCTTTGAGCATTCTAAATGCTCCTTTAACTGACTAATTTGCAAATAAGATGCAGTCCTCCGGCTTTGGATGCCCTGCTGTCTGTCTCTTCTATCTCAAGAACAGGAGCAAAGCCGCTAGGACTGGCATTCTCAGGCGTCAAGGACACAGTTTACTGTGGGAAGGATGGGAAGACAGGAGGGGCTGAGATGAAAGGGGGACGCGTCCCACAGGCCAGGAGCTCGGCTCAATCAACCTTAGCCCCTTCTCATTAAGTTTGGAGAAGGAAGGGGGAGGGGCAGCCGGCTGTTCCTCGGAGACCACAGCAAACATTTGCCTCCTCGTGTCTGGAGATGGAGCATCACTTAAGAGGAAATGAACCCAGTTAAGGGTCATGTCCAGAGGAGGGATAAAAGGAAAAGCCACAATTCTCCTCACACCGACGGACACAAGGACTTTAAGAAGGAAATCAAAGCTCAGGGCTGAAGGTGGAGGTGGGGCAGGGGTGCGGCGTCATCCCTCTGCCCCCAGACCCAGGCCTAGGGAGGCAGAGAACGGAGCAAAAGTGGGAGGCTCCCGTGAGGCTTCCTTCCCCAGGTCAAGCCTCTGAAAGCATCTCGGTCTGTGTGAGCGTGAATGACCCGAGTCCCAAGGGAGGGCCGGGAAGATGCTCTTTCCCAACGGAGCTTCCCAGCGAGGGTTTGACGAACGCTCCCCCCACCATCCTTCAAAGCTCAGGCGGACAGATGACTTCACCGTTGTAACAGACAAGGGCAGCCCTTGCCAATTCCAATGCCAAAAAAAGAAAACGGGCGTGGGGGGAGTGGAGGAAGGTCAGAAAAGGCTTCCCTGGAGATCACAGCCCTGCGAAGAAACTCTACCGCCGAAGGCTGCCCTGTGGGCAATTAGCCCCGGGACTCAACAGCGCGGGTAGGGCAAGGGGCCACCCAGGGCCCTCGGGGGTTCCTGGCCAGGCCCCGCGGGGGTCTTAGGGGCGATACTCACATAGTGCTTGGAGGGGTTCCTCCGTTTCTCCACGTCCACCACGGTGGCATCTTGCACGCAGTAGGCGAGCATCTTCCCCCACAGAGCGAGTGGCGCCCCCCGGCGGCGTCACCTTCTCATCCTGGTCCAGCTCCGGCTCCTTCTCCCGCTTCCCAGGTCCCCGGCCCCCACGCCACCCCGGTCCGGCGCGCCGCTGCCCGGGCTCCCGGCGCCCTCAGGTACGGCCGCGGAGCGGGGACGGTCGAGAGCGGACGCGGACTCCGTGCGCCCGGGCGGCTCCCCGTGGGCCTGCCGCGCGCCCCTTCCCTCCAGCGCCGCCTCCGCCGCTCTCCGGCTCGCCCGCCAGCTCTCTCCGCCGCCCGGTGGGTCCGGCGGGAACTGGCGGAGCAGAGGAGGGGCGGGGGTGTGTCCCGCCGGCGAGAGGACGGGGCGGGGGCCCCGGAGCCTGCTGTCAGCGCGCTGGGGAGGGGCCGGCGGCGCCCCTTCGCCGCGCTCCGGCTCCAGGGGGCTCGGCGCTGGCGGAGGCTGTGCGCGCAGAAGGCGGAGGCCGGGCCGGGAAGGGAAGGGAAGGGAAGGGAAGGGAAAGAGGGGAAGCGTGCTGGGAGGGGCTCCGGGCCCGGGGCGACGGGGAGGGGGCTGCAGCCCGGCCGGAGCGCCAAGAGCTCGGCCAGCGGCCTGGCGCGGCGCTGGGCCACTTCGCCGGGCACGGAAACTCAGGGTGGCTTCGGAAGGAGGAGGGGCAGGGGGAAGTGAACCCAGCGCGCCCTCACCCTGGCTTCCCGTCTTGGAGCGGATTTGTGCCTTCTGTCCCCACCTTTACGGCCCCCTCCCACTCCTATTCCCCAGATCTCTTTAATGAAAAGTAGTTTATTACCCCGCTGTTACGGCCCAGGCCCTCCAAGGAGGAGACAGGAGTGGGGAAAGAGCGGCATTAAATCCTTCAAGCCAGAGCCTTATCTTTTGATAAACCACCTGCCCCCCTGCAGGTTACAAAGGGTAGATTCTCCCCGGAAATGTGATCGATCCGCTGCCTGAGTCGTTTATCGATCTGGGTCTGGGTAACCAACCTGTGATATCATTTACCAGTGAGGTTTCAAGACTGTAACAGCACTGCCTTAAGCCTAGGGCTTCCCTGGGACCCTCCCCAGGCAGGCTAGGAGGGAAGATAGCACACAATGGTGAGAAAATCCACCACTGGGTTGGGGACTGTCTCATCACTGGCCCCAGGCTCTGGCTTTCTCACCACCTGTCCCTCTGATATGGAAAACCGACTTTCCAAGCCACTTGTCTGTCCCTGGACTTGGAACACAATTACTATTTAATTCAATTTACACCCCCTCATCTATTTCAACATATTTTCCATTCTAATTTCAAATATTTAAAGAAGTACTGTTTTCACAATTAATCCTATTGTTTCACAGTCACAATGAGCTTTGTGACTGTGGACCAATGTGAAGCGTGTGAAATGGAGGCCAAGAGTTTTACAATCTAATTGTGTTAATACTTTTTTTCTCTGCACTGTCAGAACCCATGTAGCTATCTAAGACTGTTCACACATTTGCCTGGTACAGAATATCATACTACCCCTCCAACTTTCTTGGAGAAGGATGCTAGAACACCAAATGATGCTGCTATCTAAATATTTGACCTGCCGCAAATCACTTAATACCATAGGCGTTAGAGTCATCTTAAAGTTCTCTGTGAAATGTGGGTGCTGAACTAGATGGTCTTTTAAGATTCCTACCTACAGGGGCTTCCCTGGTGGTGTAGTGGTTAAGAATACACCTGCCAAAGGAGGAGACACAGGTTCGAGCCCTGGTCCGGGAAGATCCCACATGCTGCGAAGCAACTAAGCCCGTGTGCCACAATTACTTAGCCCTCGTGCCACGACTACTGAAGCCTGCTTGCCTAGAGCCCATGCTTCACGATGAGAAGCCTGCGCGCCGCAACCAAGAGTAGCCCCCGCTCACTGCAACTAGAGAAAGCCGGCCCGCGGCAACAAAGACCCAACGCCGCCAAAAATAAATAAATAAAATAAATAAAAATTTATAAAAAAAAAAAAAGATTCCTCCCTACATACATTCCAAACTCCTAGCAGTAGTTACCCATGTTGGAGACAGTTTTGAGTTCTTTGTTTTTCATAATTAGCATGTATGGATATTGACATTTAAAAAAATATTTTAAAAATTTTCTTCTCAAAAACTCTAGAATTTTAGGCTTGATTGAGCACCTAATCTATGCTCATTTACAAGGATTTAAGGAACAGAAGAGAGAGAGAATTCAGTTGATGTTTGTGGACCTGAAAACTGAATCCAATTGACAAAATGCTTGTCCCTTCCCTCAAAGAGAAGAGAATACAGTTGAGAAACAGAGACACCATTAAGACTGTATCTAATAAAATATGCATTAGCATTCCAGAAAATGGAGGCCTGGAGTAATCCAGGAGAACTTCCTGGAGGAGGCTGTCCCTCTGCTAGGGACTGAAGGATGGGCTGAATGGAGTACCTTGGAATACTCTGCCTCCTCTGAACTCCTCCAAGCCAGGTGCATTTGCCCTGAGCTGCTTTGACTTGTGTGTATTTGTCCACAACACAGTTCCTCTCCCTGAGAGCACCTGGTATACAAAGACTGGCTTAAGTTATCTTATACTTCTTTGCACTCCTCATATAGCAAATACCGTACCTTATCCACAGTAGTAGTCACTCACTGTATGAGAATCTGTTGAATGAATGATCAGGGGGAAAAGAAAAGGTGGAGTGAGGACACTGAAGCCTGAACCTGCAGGTGACAGGCAGAGGGCCAGGAGGACAGTGTCCACCTGGGGAAGAGCCAGGCAAGGGGGTGAGACACAGGAAAAGGACATAAGGAGAAGGATGGGTGTTGGGGGTCCAGACTGTGAGAGATCTTGACACTAGGCACAGGGCTCCTCTATCAGAGAAGATTATAGAAAACCATTGTCCTGGGAGAAGATGATCTGACAGTGATGCTCAGTGATGCGAAAAGGAGGAGACAGGGCATCACTGCCTTGAGCAAGGCCTGTTCCTTGTGGGAGTAGGAGGAAGACCTGGATAGACCCTCAGCACTGAGCTCCTCAGGGAAGGGCTGGGCTGTGGGAATCTGGGAGCACCTTTGGTGAAAAATCAAGACAGCCTGTGGGTTCACGGCAAAAAGATTCCTAATGGCACTCGGCCACTGTTCCTCTGTGGGCTGCAAGGTGTTCTGGAAGTGCTAATTAAGCCGGAGAAACCCCTGCTGAGGGGAGCCGGGGTTTAGCTGTTGGAGGGAAAGAAGAGGAAGGGGTTTGGCTTGCACTGGGTCACCTTATGAATCAGAGCACTCACCCAATAGGCACCGGTGGTTTCCCACTCACCCTCCTTCTTCTGGATCAGGATCTGAACATGGACCTGAGGATAAGAGATCCGGAGGAGAGAGGAAGGGTGATTGCCTACAAGCTGATGGCCTTCTTCTGGTCTAAGAAACCCCAGACAACCTGACATCTCCTAAATTCAGGGTCTTGAAGCACAACTCGAGGACCCCCAACTTCCCCTGCACTCCCGAATTACCTCAGTTGGAGGGAGCAACCGAGCACCAGCCCCCTCGGTGCCAGGGTGTCTGGAAATTAGTTGGGTAGAAGTTATTAATACCTATGGGAGAAAGTCTCCTTTCTCTCCTGGAGCCATCTAGCCAAGAGGCTTTAAGTATAAAATGGTACAGGCTCTCCCTTCTTCCCTGGGTACATTTCAACCTCATGCAGATTTCCTTCCCAACAGCGCCTTAGGCATGCCTTTCTGCTCTACACACGTTTACTGAGTGCCTCACATGTGCCTGGCCCTTTCCCAGCAATGACCGAGACTGGCTGAAGGCTCCTTGGAGACAAGACTGTGTCTCATTTGTTCAGTACCCAGCATGCCTGGCAGAGTAGGTACACTGGGTGGTCTATATTGAAAACATCTGCTCAAGGAGCTAGTAGTGCTGGAGAGGATTAGGTAAACCCCTATTTTGCCACCTCCATCCATGAACTGCAGACGACTCTAATCCAAGGACACTGTGTTAGTTCAAATGACAAAATATAATTGCAATTTTTTTTAAGGTTAGGATAAATAAGGGAAAGAGGACCTAAAATAAAGATACAAACTGACTGATACCTGGAAATCTGATTTTTCAAAAACAGAGATTTGTAGGATGCTTACAACCACAGAATTTTCTAACTGGAAGGGACCAGAGAGGTTATTTATTATTTAATTTTACAGAGTAGCAAACCGAGACCAAGAGAAACTAAGTAAGCTGCCCAATGCCACACAGCTAGGGAGGCCTAGACTTGTCATCTTTGTCCTCCACTACTTGTATGAGCTTATTCCCACACGAGAAGAGTTCATTTAAAGAGCATTACAGATACCTGCAGATCCAGAATGTTGCTCTCAGGGTCCCTTGTTCCAATTCTCCATTCACATAAGCATCACAGGCTGCCTACAAACAACCCCCCACCCCGTCCAGGCAGGATGCTCCTCAAGGGCAGGGACCACGTGTGTCTCCACAGCCCCTCTGTGCACATGCAAATCCTATCAGCTCCCATATGCCGAGCCCATCTCACCTCCTCTCCCATGTAGTCTTCATGAGTCCTCAAAGACGACAGCATAGAGGAAAGCAGTGAAAACAGATTACTAAACATTCATTTGGTTACTAATCATACATTGCCCTATGACAGTTCAGCCGCTACTGTCCTGAACGCTTATTTACATCTTTATTGTTTTTTAAACTTTGCTGTGCTTAGGTTGTGCCTTCTAAACCAGTAAGAAGCTGGTGAAGGTCTTGAGGACCATGAATTTGGACTCTGGCACCACCCTTTCCCTCCCCACCCTGACCATAGCACCTCGGCCACCTGCCACACACCCCGCACCCAGCACAGAGCTTTACACATGCCAGGCATTCAATACATGATTGTCTTTTAAAATTAGATATTTGTTGATGGCTGACGATGAAAGCGATGCCTAAGAGTCGGAGAGAGTTACCCAACCTAGGTTCTAGTTCCGCTCAGCCACAACCCAGCCTTGTGATCTTGAAGTCCTTTCCCATCTCTGGGTCTCTGGTGATTTTCTGCTCCCATGCACGCTCTAAGATGCTGGATAACGATCATATATAATGAAGTCTGATGGGTCTGTTATCCAGAGATGCACAAATTTGAATGAGATTTGGAGCCCCCTACTGGCCAAAGTTGTTTTAGCACCTTTAACTCAAAGCAGCTGGCCCTGCTTTGTATCCCTTTCCATCCCTGGCTGACCCCTGGCAGGAAAAAGCAGGAGGGCCTGGTACCAATAACCTGCCAGTTTACAGACTATAAGCAGTCCAGGGTGTACATGCATCTCTCTTTCTTCTCCTTCCTTCTCTCTCTTTCAAATCAGCCCTAATAAGCAAATGTTTGGGGAGTGTCTTGAGAATGGTCTTTCCTGAATTTGGAGTAGACAGTAAGATCAACTTCCGTTTTCTCCAGAGGCAAGTAAATTACTGGCCAGACTTCTTTCCTTGATTGCTGGGGAATGGGACCAGGATGAGACACCAGAATTGCCCTGTCTGCTTAGCCCCATTGTTGGCTAATTGCAGCCATAATAACAGGCCCCTCTGCTTGCCAAACCACCAGGTGGTGGAAAGCACCTTTCTCTGACTCCCAACACAGTAAGTTCATCAGAAAAATCTCAACAGGCTTCTACACAAGATGCCATTGAGAGTCTCAGCCTTCTGTCTTAGCCTTGACTCTGGTGAGGGTCCTTATGCAGGAGAATTTTTTGATAGAACCATGTCAAGTTCCAGCCTTAGCAAATGACCATGGCCCTGGAATACCAGAGGGAAATCTGCTAACTTGCATGGCCAAAGAAGCCAAGGACACAATTAGAGTCACAGAGCAAAAAAATATTATTCCATAATTCCAGGCTGCATCCCTAACACTGACGGGACATCTGGTCCCCAAACTAGCACACTGTGCTTTAAGAACTTCAAGGATGAGGGTGTGGATGGTTTCACACATCTATCTCAACTACTGAACATGCCCTCAAGTGTATTTCTGCCTGGTAGGGGCTTACCAGGATCATTTTGGTACAAAAGATCAGTGTGCATAGTTCCATTTTAACCATAAGCCACCACAGATTTTTCTTTTGCAAAATCCCCTGGATTTTCCAGGAGCCCGTAAACCCTGAGTTGTCCACTGGATGACAAAAAGAACAGGAAAAAAAAATCCCTTGGGGAATTCAAAGGCAGTTTCTTAAAATAGCCTGAAGCCACCAATAACCAAAATTATGAGTCTGGTTTTGGTTTGATCGCTTATTTTTTTTTTTCCCAGTTCTCTATTCAGAAATGTTAGAAATTACTGTTCTTCATCCTGTTTGAATCCACATGTCTATTTCAGGTGAAAGAGTCAAGACTCTCAAAAGTCAAGTGTGCTCCAGCTCACGTCCTGCTCTCTCTGTCTCAAGCAGAAGATATCCCCATAGTTGGTTCATTTCTTACCCAATAGGCTAGGGCAGGTAGAGGAAGATTTAGTAGGCCGGGTTTTCTCACCTAGGTGAATCTGACTGGGATTCTGACTGTCATCCATAAGGTGTGGCCCTAGGCAGATTACTATGATCACTTTGATTAGTCTTACTGCCTAATATATAAATAGCACGTTTCAGTTGAGACTCTTTGGTTTACAAGTGCTAGAAATTGAGCTGAGCCAGCTGAAAAAAAAGAGAAGGGGCTCTATTTCCAATGTACCGTGGTGTCTCATTATCCACGGATACTTGGGCTTCTCAGAGCAGAACAAGGA